TCCTCCTCCTTCTCCTCCTTCTCCTCCTCCTCCTTCTCCTCCTCCTCCTCCTCCTCCTCTTCCTTCTTCTTCTTCAATGGTCTTCAACTGCATGAGTTTGACAACTTAACTTTGTAAAGTTCATTAAAAAGAAAAAAACACAAACAACTCCTGGTCTAGCACTGAGACTTACTCCTGAGCCTCTTACATATGCTATAGCTCAAATTAGTTGTCTTATTACCGCTAGACAGAAGTAGAGCAACAGCAGTTCTGGTGTGGTTTCCTAATCCTCCCTTCCCTCCTTTCATCCTCCCTTCCTCCCTTCCTTCCATCCTATCTTCTATTCCTAACTGGACAAAAAAATGCCAGCAGGAAAATATCTGATACTCTCTTAAAATTCCTCAATGCTTTAAGTTTTTTGTACAATCTGCCATTTTTTTAAAGACAATATTTTTACTGTATCTGGGGTATAGGTGAGGCTACCTGGGACTTGGAGTTTGAAGCTAGGAAATTTTGTAGACACCTGTAGTTTTACCATTTTCTTTTATTTGTCTTGAGGATATGACAGAACTTAACATTTCTGAATTTTAGCTTCCAGATCTATAAAGGGAAGATAATAGCAAGTGTTTCACAGTATCTGGAGGTATATTAAATGATCTAATACATGACAATATTTATACATCTACCACACATATAAACACAATAAAAGTTTCCAGTGTGATTCCAATAATAATTGGGAATTGCAACCTTAAATTCATTAGACTAACAGCAACAAACATTTTTTCCTTTTACTAGAGGTGGCTGCAAAATTGGCCTTAACATTTCTGTGGGTTCCTCATTCACATATTCAAACAGTTATGGATCAAAAATATTTGAAAACATAAGCTGGAGAGATGGCTCGGCAGTTAAGAACACTGACTGTTCTCCTGGACGTGGGTGTGATTTCCAGCACCCACATGGAAGCCCACAACCATGTCATGCCACTCCTGGGGAATCTGGCACCCTCTCTGGTTTCTGCATGTACCAGACACAAATTTGGCGCACAGGCACACATGCAGGTAAAACATGTATATACATAAAATAATAATACATCTTAAAAATTTGATAACAGTATTATATTGAACATATACCTATTATTATAAAAATAATACACCTTAAAGCTATTTAGGTGACATTTACATTGTGTTGAACATAATAAGTAACCTACAGATAATTAAAGGATATGGGCAAATGATTTTTATACAATATTACATCATTTCATACAAAGAGCTTATCTGACCAGTCTTAGAAATAATCCTCTGTAGACACTGGGGATGGCCATATTTGTAAAACACTGTTAAAAGCACCTTATAAGTCTTAACTTGTTTGGTTCCCTCAACATGTTAACATGTACATTTACAGATCAGAACACAGATACAAAATGACAGCTAGTGAATGCAACACAATGTTAACTCATGGAGATAGAGTCAAAGTTTATATGCATAGAGAAAATGCATGATGCTCATGGCCTTTGTCTTGACAGGATTCTAGGAAGGAAGCAATTAGAGGAATTTGAGGTTTCTACCAAACACCATTGTTAGACCAAATTGAACAAGAATTTCTATCATAACATCAGAGGCATTGTTTCAGAAAAGAGATGAAACTTCTATGTGCAAGTCAATTATGGAGAGTTGTACTTAGGTTCTCTGCAGCACTATGAAAAAGATAGCGCTATTATCTCCATTTTAAGGAAAGGAAACAGAGACTTTTGAGTGTTAAATTACTCGCATTCACTGAAATGGAGAGGGAAGGCATCAGTGGCTCTCTCTCCTAAATCATCTTTTCGTTATTAATTTAAATTTATTTTTATTAATAATTTTATTCATTGCTTAAAATATTCATCCATTTACACAATGTATGTTGATCACATCCATCTACTGTTACCTCCCCAAAGTGTCCCTATCCCATCACCCTCCCACAAAAGGAGAAAAAGAATGTGTCGTTCC